ATATACATTCTGGAAGAACGCTTCAACATGAGTAACTGTAATCCGGTCAGCACCCCTCGAATGCAAATTATCGGAAAATGGATACTACATTTCAAACTGAGGAATTTGAAAATAACCTGTCATGGAACTCGTGGGATGCTTAATGTACTTAATGCTGGCTACACGGCCGGATTTAAGCATTTCGGTAAATTTGTGCAGTAGGTTTCAAAGTAAACCAAATAAAGAATTATGGAAATATTATATTATATTACGAGTGTAGAAAGTGACAAATTTCATACGAGTGTTTGATCTCAATCACGAGTGTTTGAAAGACACTTCCTCACAAGTGATGTACACCATTTTTCCTACGACCAGAAACCTATTTACAACAGCTTTCTCTTATTTTATTTCTTTAAATTTTCAACCAACGTGCTGAAAATGCGAAGACCTTGCCAGATAGATACCCCATTCCTAATATCACGGACCTCCTAGACAAATTAGGAAAGTGTCAATACAACCTTAGATCTGGCTAGTGGTTTCCACCAAATACAAATGAGTGAAAAGGACATTGAAAAAACGGCATTTAGTACAGAAAATGGCCATTTCAAATTTTTGAGAATGCCCTTCGGACTCACCAACGTACCACGGGGCAACCTTCCAAAGGGTCATGGACGCCATCCTATACGAGGAATCCAAAACGAAAAGTTTATCTTGATGACATTATAGTTTCCTCGTCGTCATTGCAAGAGCACCTGGAGCGACCAGAAACCGTATTCCAAAGATTAAGATCCAATAAGATAAGAGCGAGTTTCTAAGGCACGAAGTAGCCTACTGAGGACACATTGTAACTTTCAATCCACGTATTGGAAGTAAATTGTGATGTCAATCACAAATAATGTCAGCAGTATTTCCCACACGTGTGCTGAAAGTTCTTTTAGCACACGTATTTAAAGTACTTTCAGCACGCGTGTGATATTTCGCTCTTTCCAAAGTACCAACTAGTGCCGATTTTGTCATTTTCGTATGCGGTCGTAGGAACAACCTTAAACGAATCTTAAGAGAACTATCAATACAAAATTATATTTTTCATTGAACACTGATGTCAAGCTTGTCGGATATGCCGATGCGTGGACGCAGATTTTGCTGGAGATGAGACAGTCAGAAAATTAACAAGTGAGTACTTATTTAAGGTGTTCGGTTGCATAGTTGGTTGGTCAACTCAAAAACAAAGTACGGTTGTGACCTCTTCCACAGAAGCAGAATATGTCTCTCTTGCAGAGGCTGCTAAAAATTTGGTTGTCAAGTATTCTTCCTGATTTTGGTTTTGAGAAAACTACTTTTGTCATATTCGGAGAAAACCAATCCTTTATCAAGTTAACACGAAGGTTCGATCACAGAAAATTGAAGCTCATTGATGTGAAATACAATTTTATCAAAGATTTGGTTCATAGTGGTACTATAGTTTTAGAGTACAAGCCAACTGGTGAACAAATCGCAGATATTTTAACTAAAAATTTAATTGGTGATTGTTTGCTAAACATAAAAAAAGATTAGAATTAGTAGATGTATTTCAAACTGTTAGGTAAAGTCCTTCTGATACAAACCTGACCGACAACCATTTAGGGGCTGATTAAAAAATCCTTTAAATCGTTTACTAGAAACCCATAAAATATAACAGATTTATTCAAGATAATTTCAGCTCAAATTCGAAAAAAGCCTTGCGATTTTCAAAATTAATAGTTTACATATTATATAAATGCGGTTACAAAATTATAATATTTGACAAAGATACCACAAAACTCTCATCAAATCTCTTGTAAAGAGACGCGGGAGGTTCTCGTTCAAATGCACTCTCCGAGATCAAGACTACAGCAACCGGAAGGGAAAATTACCTACCAGAACCAAACCTGATGAACAGGGCAAGAAGGAATGACTGGAGAGTAGCAACTGTGATTACCAGTCACGACAAAATCAAATAGGCAGTTAGCACATTTAAACCCTAGAAGTCACCGGGGCCTGATGGAATCTACCCGGTTCTGCAGTAGGGACTAGACATACCTACTGGCTGGCCCCGCACAAAAGTAATCGGAAGCGAAATCATTAAGACCCATCAGCCTTTCAAGCTTCCTGCTGAAAACGCTAGAGAAACTCATAGATGGGCACTTAAGAGACAGCGGGAGCTTTTGCAAGTCCCCCTATGCAAAAAACAACATGCCTGCCAACCAGAAAAGTCCTTGGAGACAGCGGCTCAGAACCTTATTGCGAGAGTCGAAGTCGCGATTCACAACACAGAAATAGCCCTGGGAGCCTTTGTAGATATACAATGTGCCTTTGATAACGCATCATGATGATGGTCACCGCCGCAGCAAGACATGGAGTTGAAAAAATCACTTGCAGGTGAATACACAACATGCTTGAGTACCGGTGAGTTAAGTCAATAAAATATATGAAAAAAGAAGCTGACGTTATTCGAGGATGGAATCTAGAGGTGGATGAGTTGCTCGTGCGTCTCAACTCACAGGGATTTTACGCCCAAAGGTATGCACAGTGTTCCCAACCTCTCAGATTAATAATTCCCTTGATGGATCCCAAAAATTCCCTATTTTATATATTTTAGAGTTAAAATCCCCTGCTTTCAATGTTGCCAATAAGCCTTTTCGGAAACACTGATCCGATTAACCGGATCACCAGCTGATGTACTTTGTCTTTTTTCAATCGTGTACATTAAAAAAAGATAAAAAACAAACAGTTGGTGATCGGGTTAGTCGGATCAGTGTTTCCGAAAAAACCTTACGAGTACATCTAAATGCCAAATGACTTTACCTATATCAAAACCAAAAATATCTTCTTTCTATTGTGTATGTAATAAAACAAAAAATTGAGTCGTTTGGATGATTAAACGGATTACAAACAAATTGCAAAAATTAAGCATGAGCACTAAAATATATAAAATCTGTTTTTTTTTCTAAAGATAAAAGTCAAAATGACATTATGTTGGCAACACAATGGAGAATTGTCAAGCTTTCAAATTTTTTATGTAGAAAAGGCTTGTGTTGCCAACATAGTTACTAAATTTTTGACTTGGGGAATTTTCTTCTAAAAAAAAAACAGACTTTACAACCGGGAACCCCCGAAACCGAACCTTGCTACGTTCGGCTATGTCACTCCGCGCGCTCCGCGTAACTCCGTACCCACTCCAGGCGTTCGAGTATTGCTTTTCGGCGTAGGTAGAGTAACATCGCTTACTCCACTCCAAATCCGTGCTGAACACAACTTCTATCTTCATCGATGCCAAACTTCTATTTCTCAAAAATTCCCTCATTTCGACGATTTTATTAAAAAAAATCCCTTTTCCCTTTTGGGTGCCAAAATTTCCTAAAAAGGGAAAATTCCCTGCAGTTGGGAACACTGGGTATGCAGAGGATGTAACGATACTCGTTCAAGGAAAACATCATGCGGTCATAGCAGAAGTTATGCAAACAGCTGGTGCGAGGAACCAAACCTCATGGTCAAGGCTAGAAAAACCGCAATAGTACCTTTTACTAGATGAAGAAGCAGGGATGAACCTAAGCATTTTTGAGGAAAGGATTAAAATAGTTGACGAAGTCTTATATTTAAGTCTAATCCTGGATGCCAAGTTACCATGGAGCTCACATCTAGAGAGAAACCTCAAGAAAGCAAAAATGTGTCCAGTTGGATTCAGGAGTCTGTTGGGAAAAATATGGGGTTTGAGACCACGGATAGTGCATGGCTGTACGCCACGGTCATCAGGCCCATAGCTGTATACGGAGCTGTAATATGATGAACAAAAACAGAACAAGTAACGACGGTCAATGAGCTGAATAGTTTTCAGAGACTGCCATGTCTGAACTAACCCAAGCATATGACAGGAAGGAGCGCCTCTCATAATAAGAAGCCTGCTCACGGAAGATTATAAGGCATATAACAATCAGATAATCATTCTCTCAGACAGGCAGGCTGATCTAAAAGCTCTCAACTCACATCGATTTATTTGGAAAATAATGATGGAATGCCTACACGACTTGGAAGCTTTGTCATCAAGGAATAAAGCTTATGGGTTCCTGAGCATTTGGGTATAGAAGGCAACGAAATGGCTGACGAACTGGCCAGAGCGGGCGCAGCTGTACCCTACAGAAGACCAGAATCCGCATTTGGGATACCGAAGTAGGTTATAAAGACAGCAGTTGAAAGGTGGTCGACTTATCAAAACCTCGACTTTTGACAGTCCACACCTAGAGCAAGACACTCGAAAAGGATAATTGAAAACCCTTCAAAGATGCTAACAGCTGAAGTACTGTCACTAACGCGTACTCAGATAAGACGGGTGGTTAGAACTACTAAACAGGCATTTGCCGAAAATAAGAGTGTACAATGGCCCACATGTGCGGTGAAGAGGAGGAAACCGCCTTTTACATAATATACCACTGTGAAGCACTGGATCGCAGAAGACACAATTTATTTGGAGCTGCTGGATCTCATCAAAGGGACGGAAATTGCTTAGGCAAGACGCACAATAAGCATTAACGCTATAGTACAAATCAAGAAACGAGCCGCATGACTCCGCCTCAAACCAACCAACTAACCAAATCTTATAGTTCTTATTTTGAATCTGACCATATTTAACTTGAATGGTGGTGGAGAAACGGATCTATATAGGTATTCCTAAACCATCTGGTAATGTCCATTTGCTTTTTAAATTCTTATTTCTAAATCAAATACTACAGCATTTCAATATGAACAGTACCTATGATGCTGTCTCAACTTCAAATTTTGAAGTTACCTTCCAGTCTAAAGATTTAACTGTTCATTGGGGACAGTTTCTATGGAAACTATTGTTGATAAAACAGATCAAGAAATAAGAAATCATAGCATTAACCGAAAAGACACCTAATTAACGATCGAATCAAAACATTATGGTATCAATATCGGTCGGATCAGTCCTGCTGGTTCAAATTAAGTGATGAAAAGTTTTAACAACATAAATGTATCAAAATTCTTACCTGAATTCTGCTAGAACTCGTCACCCAAATCCATTGATCATCTCCACCTTTAATCCGTTTTCGCGCGTCTTCTTCATTTTCGTCCATCAAAGGGGTTTTGGTATGGAAAAATTCGACTTGAGGCTCCTCAATTTTGGAAGCAGTCAAAAAATTATGGTCGCTACCCCTGCCAACACTACGTTTTCGTCTGATCGTGACATTTTCTTCAGATTTAATAGGTTTTACGTTTTGGTGATAGGTGAGGATTCTTATGATTTCTTCTCTGAACGGTTCCGTACGGATTTCGTTTTGGAAATTATGCCGGAAATCCGTTTTACTCAGGTAATTGTCACGGATTTCGGAAATTATTAGCCTGGAAAAGAAATGAGAATGTGAAAAGCTCGTAAATTTTATTTGTTATTCTGTTTTCAACCAGCGCCAGTTAAAAATAGTTTCAACTATTTTCGTTGCTATTAATCAAAAGTTTTACGACCAGAATATATTACTGTAATATATATTTTTTGAAAGTATGGATTCTAAACTGAATTTTTGCATGAGACCCAAACATGTAAACTTATGAGTAAAATGTTTGTTAAATTGCTGGCTTCCTTAAAAAACTAATCAGGTAAGTACTTACCTATAAACATAATGAGCTAAGAATATTTCAGTCAAAAAAATAAAAAATACACAACAAATCACTCGCACTGTATAACTAGGATTTAACTGATGGATAGGGATCTTAGCTCCGTTAGTAGGGATAATCTTATTTTGTCTTGATTGCGTTGCTGACATAGTTATTCTATTAATTCACAAATTTATCATCGCAATTATACATATTTGTTTCAAAATTCTCCTCACACAAGTTTTTTATAGACAAATCGCGATGTATTTTTGTGAGACCGACTATCTGGAACGAATCGTCCATGCCGACAAAGGCGCGGGTCTAAACTGGAACTGGAAAACGCGCTCTGGCTTTGATTTAATCGAAAGCTCCATAAAAGTTGCCGTATATTAGTTCAGACAAACGGCACAAAGCTCCCCAGCGATAAAGCGCGTTCGGATTATGCGGTGAGGACGAAAATTGGTCCCCCTTTTTTGATAATATTTTAAGCCGGCTTTCATGCTGTTTGAAAAACTATGGAAAAATTCTTTATACATAAATGAAACTCTCTTATATGGAAAATATTTTTTTATTATTATTTAAATTAGGATAACAAAAACACAATTAATTATTATAGGTAGGTACATCAGGAATACTCTAATGAAAGCAAAGTTATTTTTTTTTTATGGAGAGATTATTTATGAATATTGATAAATCCGCAGTCTTCAATTCAAATCAGTGCATCAATTCTCGACTTAAAGAGCACTAGCACTTCTGAGGCAGACGTTTCGTCATTCTCATTCGTCATTGCAAATAAATCGAGCACAACAAAGATAAACAGAAGAACAGGGACAAGCAACAATAGGTTGAATAAACTCCTGGACTTCATTTTACTTTCAATATCAGAGATCATGCGGTAAACATCCTCTCCCAACTCTAACCCAGCGAACTTTATTTTGAGGTACTTGTCTCCATAGTCATTGTAATACTGCTTCTACCTCTTGATCTTCAAATCTCGATCTCGAATCTGAGTTTCAACTGTAGTCTATTTGTCTTGCAAAGTGTGTTGCAGAACCCTAGTCCTCCAATCTAGTTCTCGTGAGTTTCTCGGTTTCTCTTTTTGTTGGAGTCTTATATCCAGCATTATGCTGCTTCATGGCCCTCTGAGTCTTAGATGGTTTGTCAACATTTATCTTTATAAATGGCTTAATGTGACAGTGCACAGTGACAATGATTCTTCAGGAATCTGCCTTGTCTGATTGGTTTTGTATCTATACTCTTTCCAGGGAAATGTTTTCAATGGTTCGATCTTATTCGTAGCATATCTGTTTTTGCAATATTCATTTTCCAGTCCATTACTTCAGATGTGTTCGCCAACAGACGCCACTAGATGATGTTAAGCCAGCATAAAAAGTTTCCGGTTTGACTCTTCTCCTGATTAAAATAGCATGATCGTTTCTACTTGTAGTTACTAACTGTCAATGTGATATTTCTGTAGATGTTATGAATGTAAGGTGTCTGTATTGTGAGTCTCAAAGTTCAATATACCATTGAATGCCTTCTCAAAGTTCACGAAAATGAGACGCATTCGTTGATTTTTTCTGCGAGAATACTTATGCTGATTATACAACTCACTGTACATTATTCAAGTGATAAGCCTTTTGGGATTATCGCGCTTGGTGGCATTTATGGCAAATTCCATTATAGATTTTTTTTTTTTAATTTTAAAGTATTAAAGTTTAGTTCGTTGTATAACCTTTTGAATACCACTCGATGTTCCAGGATTACCTAATACTTTCACCTGACACTCAACGCGTTACGCAGCAACACCACGACTCCGAAGGAGGAGTGGTGTTTCGTGGCGTTTCGTGACGTTTCGTGACAGGTAAAAGTATTATCCGGTAATCCCGAAACCTCTTGTGGTATTACATTCGAGAATATGGTCAGAAGAACCAAAACAATGACAAAACCCAGCCTGTTCATCGGTTCGGTGATTGTCCATTAGGCAATTCAATCCATCTGTCAGATAGGAAAATTCAATATGACGTGGCGGCTAAGCAAGTTTGTTTTGAATGTGTTTTTATGCGCATTTCCAAATTATTTTGTTTAGAGTTTTGCTTGCAACTTTGATTTGGATTATTTAATAAAATATTTGTTGACTAGGTACCTAAACTAATAAATCGGGCAGAATCTAAATATTTTTTTTGTGTTTCTTGGCCCATGTGTGGCCGCTACGCCATCTTGAAAGTCACGTGGTTTGAATTGCCTAATTGCTGGACACCTTGTATATAAGGTAGTTTCTGATGTCACTTGTCAGTCATGTCATAGTTACCCGTGATGGGAAATTCTTCCTCCTGATTGCTGAATTTTCCATTGTTTATCTCAAGAAACTGTGATTTTGTTCACCAAATAAACCGCAGTCATAAGTGCTTGTGATCAAAAAGTCCTATCCATTGATATGTTTAACAATATTGTCTTGTTTATTATTGACGTGTTTTGCATATCTTAACCTATCTAATATTCCTAATCTTGAAAATATCTATCCTTATACCAGCTAGAACCTTTCATCCACTCACTTATTTCCTAATATTAAAATTTCACAACCACTTTTCGTTTAAAAAAAAAAAAATGTAAATAGGTATATTATTATTTACAAAAATATTTAAAGGCACTTCAAAGCTTTGTTAAGTTAATAAGATCGGGATCATTTTTATATTTAAGTCGCTTCAACTCGAATAAGCTTTTTTTTTTCGAAAGTCCTTTTGAATTTTATTTTCTTGCTTTGGGCTTTGGTTTGTTGAAGTCATAGCTGGCACACTTCGGTATGTGCCTTTGGGCTGCTGATTCGTTAAATCTGAAAAGAAAAGACAATGATTATTATATAAGTCTGTTTTGCAAAAGTCGTAGATGAAGCTATAAAAGAAATGGAGGAAGAGGTAAAAAGATATGAAGTGGGATATTGGGACATTGATGACTATTTTTTTGATCTGGGTAACATAGAAGGGTTCGCAAAAGATGGAGAAAATCATTGATCTACACATCAGGAGTGAATTCTTAATAGAAAGCTCGCCAGATAAATCAACTGGGACAGCCCTACATATTCTTGTCACTAAGATTGAAAGGGCACATTCAAGTTAAGAAACCGATCGCAGCGCATTTATTGATATAGAGGGAGCTTTCGATAACACCTCACATGAATCCATTTTCCCACTGGCTGTGGTCCCTGGTAGTATGTCGTGCTCAGCGCCCAAGGGATCACGGTTCTAGGACTTGATGACCTCACAGTCATCATTAGGGGTAAGCATGACAGGATCTTTAGCGACCTCTTGAGAAATGCCCTAAGTGTCATTATTAGATAGCCTCTACAGAAGGGGTTTTAGCGTCAACCTCAAGAAAACCATAATTTTACCTTTTACAAGGAAAAGGAGGCTAAATTTAACAGCCCCAACCTTAAATGGGATACAAATCAACTTCGCAAGTTAAATATCTGGGAATCATCTTGGATCAGAAACTTACTTGGACACCGGACCCAATATCTTAGATGAGTAACCGACCGGGCAATGTCCACATATACTGGACATGCCGGATATCATTCAGCAAGACTTGGGGTCTAGAGTGTAAGATATTGTATGTAGTTGTGTTGCTGTGTGGCATGGCCTTTAATTGATGTTGAGGTTAGGCAGCCAGCAACACAGCACCATAACGGGCAATATCATTAATCAGATGTTTAGTTTTATATTATTCTTTTGCTAGTTCAAAACAGTTACTAATCAAATCATCTAGTTTGAGTGTCCCCTGTCCCCAAGTCATATCTTTTACATGGTGTTGGGTAGGACTCTTGGCTTGACTCTTGATTAACCTTTTAAAAAATGAAAAGCTCCTTCGGATCCTCTGAGCCCCTTATACTCGATGGTAGTATTTCGGACAATTGGAAAAGGTTCCAGCAGAAGTTTGAAGTTTTTCTCATTGCCACGGACTTAATTAATAAGTATGATAAGAAGAAAATTGCAATTCTGCTAAATCTAGTGGGTGACGAAGCTCTCGAGTCATACAACATACCTATTCAATATACCGGAAAATCAAAAAACTCTTGCAGTTGTACTCAAAGCATTTTCTGATTAGTGTTCGCTCAAGAAAAATGTAATATTCGAGCGTTTCAAGTAAAATGGCATAATCCAACAGGAAGGACAAACATTTGATAAATTTCTGACAGAATTAAAAAAAGCTGCTCGCACTACAGAGTATGCGACTCAGGATGAAATGGTACGTGATAGAATAGTCTTTGGTGTATATGATAAGAGCACCCAAGAAAGACTATTGAGAGAATCCACTTTTACACTAAGCAAAGCAATCGAGTTTTGCAGATCCATAATAGAAGCAAACCAGAACCAATCTGGAGCTTTGTAAAATGAATCAATGACTGTAAACGTTGTTGGGCTTAAAATAAGAACTATCACAACCAGAATTGTAAATTTTGTGGTTACACGCATCAGGAAAACCGATGTCAGGCTTTCAATAAGACTTGTGCCAAATGCCAAAGAAGCAATCACTTTGCTAGTGTGTGCAGATCAAGAATTCAAAGTGATGAGAAAATGAAGGAGAAAAAACAAGAAAAAAGACAGAACACTGGAAAGTTTCAGAGTGGTGAAAGGAGTGTTCATGAGGTACATGAAGATGTTAACTAGGAACAGGATAACAATAGTAATAATAGTGGTAAGCGGATGAGTTTTACGTGAATGCTATAAACAAAATGATCCAAAGTGTAAAAGACATAAATAAGAATGGTTTTGACCATTTTGAGCGTTGCTGGATGAAAGAGGTTATCTTTCAAAATAAACTAAGAAAGTCTTGTTTATAGTTGTTGATGCTAGGGATCAATTGCCATTATTAGGCTTACAGGACTGTATCAGTTTAAATTTAGTTAAAAGAATTGATATAGTCAAAGGACCCCGCAATATTTAAATGGAAATTGGTTACCCGTGATATTTGGATGAAATTTAAATATGCTATTGGGAATGCCGTAAGCAACATTTTTTACCATGGGCACAATCCTGTATATATGACAGGTGAGGCGTGGTTAGCTGTCAAATATTGGAATCTTATATCCAAAAGCAGAGTAACTATGGCAGATTTTGATGAACAAAAAATCTATTTCTACTAAGTCGACCAAGTTAAGTCGACAAATGTCAACCATTTTGACCCATTTTGACACCTGTCAAAACCCTGCCAAACCGCAGCACTCATCTTTTCCAGTTTTCAATATTTTATGATGTCATTTGACATTTTTAACTTGTATGTAAATTCTGAATTCAAAATTTGAAAAAAATTACATCATTGTGGATTTCATTTGTAAGTGTCAAAATGTTTATGAGTACTAAGTACTATAATGACTGTACTACAATAACTAATGAAATTAAATCCTTTATACGAAAACTACATACTTTAAAATGAAAATTGACATCTCTGTAAAAATCTGAAATCTGCGTATAATGTTTTTTAATGCGTTATCATAAATAAGCCTAACTTAAATTGAAAAAAAAACTAGATTTGATTCGTTTTTGAATTAAAGCTATCGACAGATTCTGACAGCTGTTCAATTTGCTGTTCAATGTTTTATCACCAATAAACTACCAGATTAGAGTATTTTTTTCCACTAAAAAAAAAGACAGGTTTTGACAGTACTGTCATTTTTTTTCTCAATTTTTGAATTCAGAATTTACATACAAGTTAAACATGTCAAATGACATCATAAAATATTGAAAACTGGAAAAGATGAGTGCTGCCGTTTGGCAGGGTTTTGACAGGTGTCAAAATGGTTGACATTTTTCGACTTAACTTGGTCGACTTAGTAGAAATAGATTTTTTGTTCATCAAAATCTGTCATAGTTACTCTGCTTTTGGATATAAGATTCCAATATTTGACAGCTAACCACGCCTCACCTGTCATACATACAGGGTTGTGCCCATGGTGAAAAATTTTGCTTACGGCATCCCCAATAACATATTTAAATTTCATCCAAATATCACGGGTAACCAATTTCCATTTAAATATTGCGGGGTCCTTTGCTAAATAATTTAAAAGATCTTGTCAATGAATTTCCAACAGTTTTTGGTCTAGGGAGATTTCCCAGTATACCTCATATCACATTAAAAAAAGGGGTTATACCTAAAACAACTTCTATTCGCCGAGTGCCAAAAATACTTTATGATCGTTTGAAACAAAAGCTCAAAGATCTTGAATCAAAGGGTTTATTAAAAAAGTTGATGGACCTACAGAATGGATAAACCCGCTTGTAATTGTGGAAAATCAAAATGGTGATCTCAGGTTGTGCCTAGATTCCAAACATTTAAATGCAGCTATAAAAAGAGAACATTTTTTAATTCCCTCCTTGGAAGAAAATTCGTCAAAGTTATCCGGTAAAAAATATTTTACTGTGTTAGACATGCGTGATGGATACTGACAAATTGAACTGGACTAGGATAGCGCTGAAATTTGTACTTTTGGAACTCCTTTTGGTCGGTATCAATTTTTAAGATTACCTTTTGGTGTTTCATCCGCACCGGAAGTGTTCCAAAAGAAAAAATACGAATTGTTTGGAGATCTAGAAGGTGTAGGAATGTATTTTAATGACTTAATTGAAACTGGGGCCACAAAAAAAGAACTCTATCATAATTTGAGATTAGTATTACATAGGGTCACAAAATATAATGAGTTTAATAAAGCAAAAATACAGTTGAATCAAGAATCTGTTAAATTTTTAGGACAATTTTTTTCAAAAGACGGTATATCAGTTAATACTAAGTTTATTGAAGCTATTAAAGATATGCCTATCCCTAAATCAAAACAAGAACTCTTCAGATTTTTAGGTATGGTTCGTTGGAAAATTTATTCCTAACTTATCAAAACTGTCTGCTCCTCTGAGAAACTTGACAAAAGAGGACTTTAAATGGCATTGGAATGAGTCGCATGGGTTGGCAATTGATCAATTAAAATATTGTCTTACAAACTTTCCTGTGTTATTTTTTTTTTTAATCCAAAAAAAGAGGAAGTGATAGAAACTGATTCTTCTAAAGATGGACTTGGAACTTGTTTACTGCAAGAAGGCCACCCAGTTGCCTTTGCATCAAGATCTCTATCAAAAACTGAACAAAAATATGCCCAAATTGAAAAGATGTTAGCTATTCTTTTCTCAATTCAGAAATTCCATTTATTTATATGTATATGGTCTGCCAGTTAAAGTTCAAAGTGATCATAAATCATTGGATCACTGATTTATAACAGTTATTAGACCTTCTTAATGAATACCGTGATTGTTTTGCGACAAATTTAGATGAGATTGGAAAAACAAAATCCACAGAAATGGCGATATCGCTAACTGATGATATTCCTTTTACATATCGCCTTTATCGCATAGCATTTTCTGAGAGGGAAGTCGTAAGAGGAATAGTTCACGACCTCATGAAAAATGATATTATCCGTGACTCATCTTCACCTTATGCAAGTCCCTCGTACTGGTGAAAAAGAAAAATGATGAGCCGCGCATGTGCATAGATTATAGAGCTTCAAATCGTCAAAAGCTGAAAGATAAATACCCATTGCCAAGGATCGATGACCTCCTGAACTCGCTCAAAGGTCACATCTATTTTAGGCCCTAGACCTAGCATCTGGATACCATCAGATCTCATTGAATTAAGAATCTAATTCCGAAGAATGCGTTTGTATAACACCAGCTGGACACTACGAGTTTCTGCGAAAGCCATTTGGACTTGTTAATGCTCCTGCGGTTTTTCAGAGAACAATAAAACACCAGATGGACACTACGAGTTCCTGCGAACGCCATTTCGACTTGTAAAAGCTCCTGCGGCTTTTCAGAGAACAATAAACCAAGTCTTTGGCTTTTTGCGATTCGAAACAGCTATTGCATATTTGGACGACGTAGGTATTAATACCGTCAATATCATTACCAGATGGATTCAAAAAGCTGAAACAGATACTAAATATCTTTAGAGAGAAGGCAGAGAAGACCGATTCAAACTTAGGTTGAATAAGTGCGTTGCTATTTCCTTCAAGAAAACATAGAATATTTAGGAAATGAAGTATCTAATATCGGTATACGTTCTGATGTGGATAAAATTGAAGCCGTGGCTGAATTTCGGGTCAATGCCTTTTAGGTTAACACCTGGAAATGATGGGCAAATCAGAATCAGACCTATGCTGCACCTCTGAGTTTGCAGAACACATACTATTTTGCAACTGTGTGGCATTGTGTCGCAGAAGACTCATCCATCAAGAGCAGCCCTACTTAACGGCTGTGGATGTGAGAGATGCCATAACAATATCAGCTTTGCCAGAAGCCCTAATCCGGGAACCCACTGGATATAAGGGGAAGCACAATAGATCTAATCAGTTCATAATTTACAAAGGATAGACTGAAAAAGTTCGAAATTTAAAAAAAGACGGAAACAAATGATTATGGGATAGAATAATGCCCAATTACACAATATGGAGGTAATGGAGAAGCAAAAAGTACAAAAATTTAATTGTTTCATTTTGTAAATGAATACGAAGAAATCGATGATGAAATCAGAATAAAAAGAGCAAAATCAAACGATTATTAAACTGTTATTAGCATTATAAGCTGATTCCTAGCGAAAAAAAGAAATTTCAAAGGAAGTGTGATTACCAAAAAGCTATGGAAGGAATCAAGATAAAATTAATGGAAAATTGAAAATACAAAAATGTAGAAACAGACAGAAGAAAATTTGAAAGCGAAATCAATGAACAATAAAATAGACAGTACTCAACTATGGATATTTTGGGTTAGTTGGAAGAAAATTGAAGGAAATGAGATACAATACATAACAATGGAGTATGACGAAAGATATAGAAAACTCCAATAAATGCAACGCAACTCAACCATCCATATTGGAAAATAAGAACAAAAAAAATATTACAATTAATATATTAGAAAAGTAGGTCTTAAAGTAGCATTAATTACCTTCTACCGCAATGAGGACACTGTACGTAATCCGGATTAGTGGACGGCGGCGGCGGAGGAAGATCGGACAATTTACCACCTTTGGCAACGTGAGCTTGGGCTTGTTTGGCCGCCCGAATCGCCGCTATAAATTCCTCGTGAGTTCTTCTCCAGTTGCTATTAGGAGCCGACATCTTTTTTGTCTAAAATTTAATACAAATAATTTCAAGTTGGTAATTTGTCACTCCATTCCTACCTTGCTGGATACAGCTTTAGATGCTTTCTTGCCTGTCTTCACATAGGCTTCCAGTTCAGTGCCTAGCACCCTGTGCGTGGTAGTATCGTAAGGTTTCCTCTTCTTTTTTCCTGTTTTACCGCAAATATCCTCGTGAACGCCCAATCGGTCTGTGGCAAATCTTCTGCCACAAAATCTGCAAGAAGCTAAATCGTCTCTTACTACTGGCGAAGTGACGCCCGATTGCTTCGCAGACGGACGTTGATTACTTGGTGCCCGAGGCGCTGGAGGAGTCTGCACATCAGAAGTATTAAGATCCGTAAATAAACATGCTAAAAAAAACTTACTTGTCTTGACATAGTGTAGCTGTCAGTTTTATATTGGGAATTTTTCGAAGATTGACTGGACGCCGAAGACACAGAAGAACTCGATCTTGGAGGGGAGGCGGTAGGTTTGGCAATGGGTTTTTTTGAGACAACCTAAATATATGTTTGTTGCTAAATTTAGACTAAAGATGAATCATTGAGGTTTTTATTTTATTTTGAATTTTAATTTGATTGTCAAAAATGTGAAAGCAGGTGACCTGTGCAGGTGACTTGGTAGGTATAAGCACAAGTGTGGTTACCATACCTACTGGTATAGACCATAGTCCCAGTGTGGCTAAATTCAGCTGGTGTAGGCACCACGGTGGAATGGTAGAACAAGTACTGTTGTTAAATTAAACAGGGTTTAACAAGCTGTCGTTTAGCATTGGCATTAGTGAATTTTGATCACCGCATCCGTGGAGGTGCACCCTTTTGGTGAATTTAGCAACACGCGGGTTGTGATAAATGATAGCCGCTTTACAACCAAATGAACTTCTTTCAAAAATAATCAAGCCATATGAATTTCCAGGAATTATTAATTATTATATGATATCGATTCAAATGATAAAGCCAAGGTTACTCTAAGATTGATTGAAAAAATTTAATTGGATTTTATTGTGTTGTTTGAGCTTTGAATGAAATTTATTACCTTGGATTCGGTTTTTGCCCCATTAAGTTTGGTATCTATTTTTTGACTTGGAAGTTTTCCGCCCACATTGGCAAGTTTTCCAGTGGAATGACGATTCCCGTTGAAGTCTAATTAATAAAAGAGTTGATTAAAAAAAAATATAGTCTTACATTTTCTAGTTAGGTAGGTACTTACTTATTTCTGGCAGTTCCTCACTATCCAAATCATTCAAATTATGATTACTAAGCATTTCAATTAGATTATTTTCACTATCAATCGTGTCATAACTTTTGACTTGACCACCTTCTTCATGGCTAGTTTTACTGAGGTTTGCCTTTTGAGTACTAGTCTTTCTCACTGTAGATTTAGCAACAGTAGTGCGGCTTGTATTCGTAATTCCAGCAGTTTTCGATTTTAGAGGCTCTAAAGGGTAACTTTTATCTACTCCTGCCCTTTGGCGACGTTCGTCGAACATTTGTCTGACCTTATAAAAACTTTTTAATTGAAATAATAAATTAATTATTTTGTAACTTACTTTTCCACCTCCTGTAGAACCAACGCTGCTGTTGCTTCCGGCACTTCCGCGACCGACCTTTTCGAAGGCCCTTTGCTGTTGATTTTCGTAAAGTTTCAAAAGTTTTTCCTCTTTCTCTTGCATTTGCTTTTGTTGAAATCGAGCCTAGGGAAATATTAGAATAATATAATATTTATATCCTGATTTCTTTAAACGCTTCCTATCATGTAGAAGCGTAAAACACGCTATTATTAAAAGCTCATTAATTGTTATAACAATAATCGCGTGCGGAAGAAATGCAAAAATTGCAGCTTTTTTAGGACCACTTACGTTATAATAACCATCATCGTGCCATCTTTTTCCTATCCAAGACGTTTCCCAATTAATTGACACGACATTATTTAGACTTGAAGATAAATATTTATTCATGACAATTTTGAGGAAGACTAATAAACTTTGGCACATTCCAGTCAAAAAACAAACTAACCAAAAGTAAGTTGTAAAATGTGGCTGGGTTAACATGCGCTGACCGTTTGTGGACAGTGTCCATGTCGTCAGAAATATAAGGGCGGACGTCTGATTATAGGGTCTTTGAAATATTGTGAGTCACTTTTAAGTGGAAAGCCGGATGAATAATTAATGTCGATATTGCATGTTATATGAACTGAAACTATAGTTAATAGTTAATGTTTCAGTTTTTCCTTGAGATAAAAAATTGTTCGATGTCAAGACTTTTAATATTTTTCAAATGAATTATTTATAGAGCTGTTCAACGAATATCTACTAAAAAACTGCATATAAAATCGAAATAAGTTCCAATCGATTGAAACTATTGAAGATTTTGATGAGTTATCTTTTGTACAAGAGTTTTTTTGAAATATTTAATTTAAAGAAGATGATGACCTTGCAGGAGAATTTGGAAATCTTATCCAATGCTGATGAAGTTAATAGGTATAACGATAAGTGAAAGTGAATTACAATGTGGACACTATACTTGGTTTCAATTTTCGAAGATTCGTCCATAACCATGAAAAAATATTAAAAACTATCGCTAGAATTAGTGGCCAAAGTACTGAAGTTACTATAGAGGAGCAGCAATTGCATGGCTTGAAGTCATGCTTGAGAATGGGAAAATCAAAGCAATTATTGGAAGTAACACTGCAACGGTCTCAGTAGTCAAAGGATGCTCCCAAGGAGGTGTCCTGTTCCCGCACTGCTTTGGTCACTGATAGTAGATGGACTTCTCAACGCGCCAAGTGCCCAAGGGATCACGATCCTAGCAAGATATATGACGACCTTACAGTCATCATTACACGTAAGCATGACAGGATCATTAGTGATCTTATGCAAAATACCCTAAATATCATTATTTGATGGTGTCTCCAGGGGGGTTTAAGCGTCAACCCCAAAAAAAACCATAATTTTACCTTTTACAAAGAAAAGGACGCTAAATATAACAGCCTCAACCTCAAATGGGATACAAGTCAACTTCGCAACTGAGATATCAGGTAGTTATCTTGGATCGGAAACTCACCTAAAACGCGTAAAAGAGTATCCGATCGAGCAATAGCCATATACTGGACATGGCGGAGATCATTCAGCGAGACTTGGGGTCTAAAGCCAAAAATGATCTATTGGTTATTTACATTACATGATTATAGAACCTATGGTCTCGTACACTGCAATAGTATGGTGGCCAAAAGTAAAACAATGGAGGTTGACTGGAGGTTATATCGGGCCTCCCCTCACACCTTGATAGTGAAAAAAGATGCCTATATGGGAGCCTCAAGAATTATACAGTCCCTAAAACTAGAGGCGGCCACATGAGCATTATGAAAGAATCCATGAATGTGACCACAGATCCAGTTGACCACATGCCCAGATATGAATTTGAACACTCCTGCAAAGTTCAAAGTGACTATTGAGGGCTGCAAGGCAGAAAATATCGTACCTGTATTCCCGACGGGGTTATCTGCCAGGTATACAGTATGCAGACGGATCGAACATAGAGCAAGGCACTGAAGCAGGGGTATACGGCCTTCTTTGTAGACTATCAACAGCTCTAAGAGAAAGCCCAACCATATTTCAAGCGGAAGTATTGGAATAGAAATTTGCGATTGAAATTGTCTCGAAAGGGACCTGCGAAGAGCGAAGATCTATATCAATTCCGACAGTCAAACAGCACTAAGAGCTCTGAGTGCTCCGAGTAGCGCTGTCACGAAATGCATACTGGTCAACAACTCCTAAAGCAACTGGCTTCTCGCAATAGAGTTACCCTGTCATGGGTACTAGGGCACCAAGGAGAGGAGGGAAATGAAATAACGTACCAACTTGCAAGAGAAGTAGCTGCAACACACACGACGCAACGAAACGTACCATGCCAGAATCATCCCAAAATATGTGCAAAGTTTTCAGGCGTTAGTAATTTTTGGAAAAACTTTTTTTTTGTACAATTTGTAAAACCGAAATTTCCGCTCGGTTCATTTCTTCAGCGGGTAGCTCACCAACGTGTTTATCCTCTAGATGTCTCACATTATGTACGAATCTGAATATCCAACCAATCATACGAATAGTTTGAATAAAACTTGAAAAATATATCTAATGCCATTCCGCTGCTCCCTTAACTACTTCAGAGTTAGCTAAACTAGTCACAGCACCTTTTTTCTTTTCAGCAAAAATATCTGCTTCATTATAGGTGACATTTCGTGAATCCACAAACTGACGGGGTATTCATAAAGCCAATTGGGACCCTCCCACCATTTAGATTCGTACAGCTTCCGTGGTGAAGAGCCTCGTGATGGAAGGTCGGCTGGGTTTTGAGATCCAGGAACATAACGCCAGCTGTCAGTTGTGAAAGTCTTTCTGATCTCAGTCACTCTATTACATACAAAGTTACATCACTCTCAATTTTTCTTAATCCATGACAATACTGTTGTTGAATCTGTCCAGAAAAAACACTCCAATGATTTGAATTCAAGAGCCTTTTTCACAGAATTGCACAATCTAGTGCCAATAACTATCGCCAGCAACTCCATTCGAGGTATAGTCACAATTTTTATTGGCACAACTTGACTTTTTGCAGCTAAAAGAGTAATATGAACTGTATCCTGATAGGCTCACCTTAAATAGATCGCCATACCGTAGGCTCCTTTACTTGCGTCGCAAAACGTGTGTAAGCTCATTCCAGTTACTTCGCCAAGCGCATATATCCACTGAGGAACCTGCATGTCAACGAAATTGGGCAAAGTTTTTATGCAATCTGGGAATGACTTCTTGATGTCTTCACCAACTTAAGCACGCCAACTTTTTCTACCAAGTTTTCTGGAGTAACAGCCTCGGAATCAATGTAGCTGAACAGGTAAATCCAATGGGATCAAGCAACCTCTGAGCCAATGATAACATGATCATCTTGTTAACTGGCTTAATCATAAGTAACTCCAAATCTCTAACACATTTTTCACTAATACTCAAAGTGTCATCACGATTATTCCAAGTAAGTCCCAGAAGAGGAATGGGTTTATCAGAACTATCTGAATTAATTTGTGTTGGACAAAAAAACTCCCACCCTCTCAAATCAAACTGCTTGTACAAATGCTGGATTGACGTATAAAAGTGTGTGAAGTTTGTAGATCCGGTAGACTGGTTTCACAGTTGTCCACATAAAAACTCTTCACTAAAATTGTGAGTAAGGAATGGTCAAACTCAGAAGTACCTTCATTATGTTTTTCGAATTCTAACAAAAGGTGATGGTTGATAGTGACCGCTAAAAAAAAGGCTGCTTGTTACACCAAGAGCCACACGTCTGTGCCTATATATCCTTTCCTTTCCTCGAGAAACCCTCCAAATAAATCGCAAAAAATCTCGATCCGCAGGATGTGCACTTATCTGTAGAAAGGCTTTTCTGATGTCTGACGTCAAATGATACTCTGATCTTGGTTGTACTACTAGAACTGGTTTTTACCACTGGCCTATGTGGCAGATAATGGGCTGTATCGTTATCGCTGTTTGGCACCAATTCAATAATGTATTCTCGAACCCATTCCTTGAAAACAGCATTCATATGATTCATGAAAATTTTGCGACTCCAATCGCTTAAAGATTGTTTCAAGTCCTTCCTTAACGAGAGATTAATTCGTGGTAAGCGGAGGGTGTCCTTCCTGCCATGGAAGCCTTAATTACTTCGTACCTCCCCTCATTATTCACTTGAACAGTCTTGTCAAAAAATTCTAGAGCTGCCTCTTCCAAATCAAGCTTACTTTTATTGGCTACCGGCTCAGTGATGCCTGGGCTTATATTATAGTCCATCACAAAGTAGCTTAAAATGCTGGTGTATATACTATCTTTGTCTGGTTCTCTAGGTACCTTTCCCATAAGCACCCATACCAGCAACGTCTCCATGGCTACCAATCCACTTTTCAGCATCAGTCTCCGACCTTTATATAAATTTCCTACTATATCAGAACCAATTAACAACTCAATAGGCTAGTGGACAATTTTTTGAAATATTTTTTTTATTAATCTCCATAACAAAATAAATAGTAGTTGATGATTCCTTGATTTTAGAAAACAAAAATATACCTAAAAAAAATAAACAAATTTATACTTATTTTAAACGCTATAATTTACCGCCCGGAAATTACGTCACAGCTGTTATGTCTAAGGCATTCCGACATTAATAAGAGTGGGCGAGAGCGCGGTCAGTGCGTCCTTATATTTTACATGCTTCTAGAAAAAGATGCAGATAAGCTCAGTGCGCATTAAATGACAGATGGAAATCTCTCAAAAAGTGGGGTTAAGTTGAGGGTGCCCCTAGATGGAATGACACACAGATGCTGATATATCTCTCTTTTTTGCACTAATGAGTAAGTGTGTGTCGAATATAGGACGAAGGTTTAATTTATTTCATACTCAAATACAACAGCTATGACGTAGAATCAAGGCGCGAAATATTTTCGTTTAAATAGTGCGTCCCAAAACTCTACTTTTACAATCGTTTTAAACCAAGTTAGCAATTTTTTCTGAAATTTCTTTCAATAGGAATATTTTTCATTTACTCCATAGATGAAAAATAGATTATCGATTTCATTGAAATTATACCTTGTCCACTACCCTATAGTGTCAGTCCCACACTTCCTTAAGACCATTTCCACTCTTAATTTTTACCTTCAAAGTCTGTAAAAACACATAATTTCTGGAAGCATTAGTGCACGAGAGTTGCGTTCCAGCAGTGTTATTTCCTTTTGAAGGGTTATTTTCTTCATCTTTGGAAAATCTACTTGATGCCGATTCAGGATACATTAAAACTGCATGGTTTTTGCCACAAAACAAACATTTAAGTCGGGCACGATATTTACGAGCTTGATGACCAACTATCACACACCTGAAGCATGCCTGTTTTGCGGTCAAAATCTCTTTTCTTTTTTCCAAGGAAAAACTCTGGGCCCTGAAACAACTTGGACTGTCATGGTGACTTTTCTCGTAGAAGACAAACTTCGTATTACTATTACCTTGTCGAAACTCAAAATTTTGCTCATGGTTTATAGGGTCAGCTTCAGTTGGCACCACATTCTGTAAACCAACACCCTTTAACTTTTCTCCTCCATTACAAGTTGTCATACCTTTCGACTTTTGTAATTCAGATTTTTCTGATGCCATCAAAATCCTCTGCTCGTTCCTAAGAAACTTCAGCAAAGCCTACAAGCGGTTTTCCAGAGTATTCACACTACCCAAAGACTCATCCTCTTCAAGTTCACCAGAGACCTCAATACAAAGAGCTCCTGCTGTTCTTTGCCACACTCTTAACAATTTCTCAGGGAGACAAGACTCGATCAAAGGAAAAAGTATGGAAGAATACTTATCGGATGTTATGCCCAGCGTTTGCAGTACTCGATACTATCATAAAGAGTCGATACGTCAGGCTTGGCTTTGGAGACAGCATTGTTCAAAACAAGTCTCAGAAGCTCCCTGACATAAACCTCAATTTACATATCTTCCCTACCAAAACGAGATTCAGGGCTAGCCACAATCTTCCCATAATTTTCTGCTGTAGCAAGAAAACTATTGACAAGATGTCTGGCTCGACTGCCTGGCACTGTGGCCTGAACTAAATATTCAACTTTGTCTGCCGCATCTATCTCTGCGTCCTCGTCCACCTTTTGAAACTGAGACCAGTAGGAAAGCCAATCCCTAACATTTCCATTAAATTGTTTAAATTGTAGGTAATTTAAACTTTCGCTTACCTACGCATCTTATGTCAGAATCGCGCTCGTTCGCTGGTGGCGACAACTTTCGGGCACTCTTTATCATAAGCTCCTTGAACCTTCTCTCATAAGCATCAAAACTATCCATATCTACCGCTAAGTCAGTTTCACTTACATTATCCTCTATCAGTAAATTGAAGTACTCTGAACTGAACTGATAGTCTTCAATTCATTAAATAACTTGCATCGTTTGCAAATCGGCTCAGCTTAGGGATAAAAGGGCTTCGAGTTCATTAGCATATTTTGTGAGCCACGGGACACTGCACGCACTTTATTTACTTTCAAGTCCAGACGATGTCTCTGGACTTAGCACCACACGACGAACTTGGTCAAACTGGCCTCAACAAGAGCAGTCCAAAAATCGAGGAAAAGTTCAAAATAGAGACGAAAGACAACTCAAGATTTCTGGGTGTTCACACGGCTCACAGTCTATATTTTTCCAAAAATGTTTTTCGAGTCTTGTCACGGTCACCAAATAAATGTGGGATCCACGAAGAACTACCTACCCGTAAAACGAATAAAATTACCACCAAAAATAAACTCGATTATTCCACTCATTTATTAGAAATCCCATAAGACAAGTGACGATTTTCAGAATTACAGCGAAAATTCTCTTTTCCATTTGTTTAACTAGAGAGAATTACAGCGATAATTCTCCCATGTTATTGTATACATGGTTGTCATACTAATTTTTGATACAAACAAACGGTTCCTGATAGCAACCATTTATTTGTATTGATTGTTAAGATGTTCAAATCGTTTAATACAAATTTATTTCCATATTTTTTGCATTCTCATACGTGAAATAATCCTCTAAATACCACTTGAGCTTTAAAATTAACCAGATAATTTTTCACTCATGCGTGTTTTCTCTGCAAATTTCACTCGTCCTACGGACTCGTGAAATTATAGAAAACACGCAATCGTGAAAAATTATCGGTAATTTTGAAGCTCTCGTGGTATTATCCCCGAAAATGCATCTATTGGATGATATAAAATACACTTATGTTGCGTTCTTCACAATAAATATTAATACTCTACCGCGCACGCTAAAAACAAGCATTGTCTCTCTATTTTTTTTTTGACTTATGTATAGGTAGGTTTTTGATAAATCCAATAATAGTATATTAAGCACCAAGTTTAGTAAAGTGAGGTTTTACCAATTGAGTGTGGCCACTTTTGTGTACGAGGGAGCGAGTGCTCTAATACCTCACGAAATTGGTGAAACCCTTTGCTAACGCGTTGCTGATACTATTTTATCGCATTTTGTCTAATGATTGTTAAAAAAATGTTTTCACTTTTGACATGATATGAAAATAATTTGTGAAATGACATTTTCAACAGACATGGTGGCCAATTTGAGGTTGGTTTTTTTTTCGGTTACTTAGAAACCGATAAAAATTATAGGAGAAATGATCAAAAAGAACTGGTAATGGTTGCTATGTGGTAAAGTGTTGTTATGGAGTAAAGTGGCACTTTACCACTCAATTTTGAATGTAGTTATGTATCATAGTACTGTCAAAAATGCGATAAAATTTATCAATGCCTCAATGCCTCTAATGCTCAAACTGTTAATGAAGCAACAAATTATACAAGTGCTGAAATAGAAATTTCGATTGTATAGTGGGTCAAAAGACAGAAACTGTCACTGAAAACTACAGCACGATATTGGCAAAAACTGTCATAGAACTTTAGTTTGCTGAAACATCATCATATAAACTGATGCTGATATGGAAATTCTAACCTAACTCTAACTCTAACCAAAGATGGGATAACATTATTCTATTGGAATCATGGTTCCTGAGGTGAATATAGAGACGATTTTAAACTCTCAGATGGACAGTTTTTTAAAATAGGTACCCATCGGCTTCAAATCTGGCAGCAGTGTATGGGGCTTGGTCGATCCAAAATAAACAACGTACCTAAGTCAAAATCTCAACGCGGAAAGTTTTGAAGCATCATAATTTGTGAAGGAAGGATGATTTAAAAAAATCCTATTTCAAACTATCAAGGTGCAATTTTCTGAGAATAAAGTTTAAATGAAAGGTATAAAATGCTAGGAGTTGTCAAGATATCAACATTGCTCAAATTTCAACGGAAATATTGCAAATTTTGCCTGGGAACAATCAAGAAGCTTTTATCTTTATTCAAGGACTAGCAGGAGTCGTAAGGAGAACTTCTAGACTAGACCGACCGGACAGGTGCGAGGAACTTCAAATAGATGAGATTATTTTTGAAGCTTGGAGAAATCAGAATAAGTTCGAGAAAGTTCATAGAAGTTATAGGGCAACACAAAATTAACTCCATTGAGGAAAAATTTATCCATCTAGAAAACTACCTACTCTTTTATCCACTAAGTCGACGACGAGACGCCTCTGACTGTTGCCTTGCAATTAAGAAATAACGCTAAATATGGAAGATACATTCAGGCTGAGTCAGCAAAGTAGAAAACTGTGGGTGCAGACCTTCGCAGACGCCTGGCCGCGGTCAACCTTAACCAAGTGTGGTTTCTAGTATGTATTTGCAATGTTGCAAATAAATTGACGATATTTGGAATTATTGTAAAGTTCTTCTGACCGTGACTAGAAGTTCAATAAAACTGTAGCAAAAAAATTTACCCACAAGGAGAATCGTGGGCATCGAAAGACTAGTTAATACCCACTCAAAAAAAAAAAACAATCTAGTTTGACTAATCAATCAACAACTTTTCTATAAGGCTATCCTCCATATCGATAAACAAAAAAACTTAAAGTTGGAGAAATTAAATAAATTTCAGTTTCTGTTCCGATTCGATGGTTCTTGCGTTATTTAATCGGGCGCCATCTGATTATTTTGCAACAATTACAAACTAATTGTTTATTTAAGTATTTAATTTTCTAATTTACAATAGGCAACCCACTAGAGTGTGACGCATGCAAATAAATTACGTAGGAACAAAAAGTCTTCATTAACTACTTACTTGCATTTGCACCAATTTCGATGTCATTTTCGTTGTTTCAATTGCTTGATTCTTGTCATACAAACATTCTGTAAAAAGAAACACTAATGTAATTGAATTTGCAGGTGCGTGAATAGCAAATAAGTAATTAGCCCTGATCTGATATTTGCTTATATGTACACACCCTTCACATACAGGCTTGGTCTGTTTTTGATGATAAGTTGGCACGTGAATATATATTTGCGATAATTATAATACCCTCATTAATATTTATCTGGAACACCTCATGTTTTTACTGTACAAAAGGGTGAACGACTGGATATACTTTGCATGCCGATGTCACAAACAAACACGGACTATAGATTGAAATTTTAACTACAAGTTCGATTTTTATTGTCCAACTTTACTGTTTATATGGGTCAGTAGTGGCCAGTGGGTCAGGACGCAGGAATAATAATGTGTTCTATGACAACAAATTGGCATTTACTTGGAAATGGGGTCGATTTTGTATAGAAAAACATACGTAATTCTTACATAAAAAATACGTTTAATAGTCTCATTTTATTCATATTTTCCATTCAAACGAATACTTATAAAATGTATTCACATCGTTTCCATTTTTAAACTGACATAATCAAATATGGGAAGTTTATTCATAGAATGAGTCAGATGATTATTTAAATAAACAAATCCATTGTTTGCTTTTTGTGGTGAAGATAATGCAAATGTCTCATCACTTTGGAATTCGTCATAACTTAAAAAAACACTTAGGTATTGAAGATTCTTTTTATTTTGGTGCTGGTGCTTAATATAAAAGTTTAAAGTAAGTACCGTTAAAATCGTCTCCAATGAAAGTTACAGTTTTCTGTGTTACATTTCCAAAAATAAGCAGGGATAATTCATTACGATTATTATAAACTTACCCAATCCAACCGACCATCAAATCTTAACACTTTTCTGGTTTCAAGAAACGAACTATCAAATTCCACTAAACAAAATTACTGAAGAAGTATACCTACGCAACCGAAAGAACCGCAACATGCAAGGCAACTGAAATAATCAGCGAAACGTTATAAACTTGTTGAGGTTTTAGCGGGGTGAATCATGAGCGCAGGTTTCCAATAAAAATATCGCTATTTGGTCGTTTGCAATAATAATTAGTTTTTGTTGTTTCCGTATACTTAGTGCGAGATTCTTGCTGGGTGAAGGGTACGATTTTGCTCGATTCAACCAAAACTAGCTTCTAATTTGTAAAATTTTATGATTCCAGTACCAACTTTTCAATTTTGAGAATTCCTCACCAGCAGTTTTGGTCCACATATTGTTTAGTAAAATGTGTTTTTTTTTTAAAGATAAAAGTCAAATTGACATTATGTTGGCAATACAATGTAAAATTGTCAATGCTTTCAAATTTTTTATCTAGAAAAGGCTTGTGTTGCCAACATAGTTACTAAATTTTTGACTTAAAAAAAAAACAGACTTTAGATACTAAAATGCAAAAATGACTAAAACATAACATACTAATCACAATTAACAATTTGTCAAATGGCTAAACATGCAAGACATTTTCCAAATTTTTCATAAATGCACTAATGAATCACAAAATAATTCTGTATCACCTTCTTTATCACATCGTTAGCTATTGTACACATTCTAGTCAATGGTGAATTCATACCATAATTAGTCCTATGAAAACTAACATTGAAAATATTCCTTTCCCTAGCGTTAATCGCAGTTACATAAATGCCAACTTTCGTAAGGAGTTCTGGAGAATCAATAAAATCTCTCAATATTTTATATAAATGTCGAAATTTTCTCGAAAAGGATAATTCCCGTAAGAAATCTGACTTATGAATGACAAGTCCGCGTCCAGCCAGACACCCAGATCCTTTACCAAAGTATGTTTTTCAAGTTCAATTGAGTCCAGGGCTGGGATCACAAGTGGAATTCTACTATTATTCTACTTCCATGACGTCAGGTTGCCTAGCAACCGTCATCATCGCCTGTACTGTACGCGATAACTAGGTTGCGGATGACGTCATGAAAGTAGAATTCTACTTTTCATGATCCTAGCTCAGGGAATAATTTAACAGAGAGGGATTCCTCGATATACTGAAGGAAATGACCTTGGATTTATCTGCATTCACTGTCAAATTGTTGGTCTTGGTTGGTCTGACACCTAAGAAACCGACAGTTACGAAAAACATACTTTAAGTCATTTAGAAAGCAATTAAACAAGAAAGCTGAAAGATGGCTACCATGCGAAAGACCTGATGTAACCAATATTTCAGAGAGAATTTAATTTTTGATTTTTACCGCCTGTTTCTGTCCAATGAGATTACTCTGAAACCAATCAAGAAGAACTCGAAAAATCCTCATGGATTGAAGCTTTTTTATTAGGATGCCATGATCAACCCTGTCGAAATCAGTGTAAACTTGACTCCAATTCTCGAGAGCCCACACAGTCTTAGAAATCCACGACACTTTAGAGCTTGGACGATAATTTTCAATGATTGATCTATCCCCATCCTTAAAAATTGGTGAAACATAGGACAGTTTACAGCATGAAGGAAATCTTCTACTAACCAACTATAAGTTAAAAATCCCACACAAAACCTCGGCAAATAACAAATTTACAATTATGCAACAAAACAACAGGTATGTTATCAGGACCTGGAACCAATCAGATTCAGATCTGATATCTTGTTATAAACATCCATCACAGAGAACTACAGATTACCAATCGAGATGGACCTGTCACAAACAAAGGTACCATCTGAGCTCAGATAATTGGAGTAAACTGATGAAAAATTACTGTGGATCGCCTCTCTCGTGCTCATCCAGACTCATACACTGTGGATAATCCAAGTTACCCTTTTTGGAGTTTACAAATTTCCAGAATGATTTTTTATCAGTCAACTGACTTTCCACGAGTTTAAATTAGGTAACTTTTATGAGAAGAATATGACAAATATTTACAACTCGCAGTCAACTTTGAGAAAACAGTGTAGTCATTAATTAATCCAGTTGTTTCGATTTTTCTTGCACTTTCTTTTTTCCAATGATCTGTTTTTTAAGTTTGGGAGTTGTGGCGACTTGTAGCAGGGAGCAGGTGTAAACAAACTCAACTACATAACATAGAGTATCATAAAAAAGTGAGACTGTCTTATCCACATTAGTCCACTCATGGACAAAGCTCCAATCAGAGCCAGAAAAAAATTATATCAATATACTGGATGTGGAACACCCAGCCTTAACAATAGGGACTATCACATATTGAAACGGACACGTCATTAATACGCGCAGAATTTTCGCGACGAACTACTTCCATGATTTCATGAACACAAACGCTTTCGAGAGAAACTCATGACGTCATATTGAACGTAGTTTGACGGAAGCATGGATGCAGCTTCTAGCCAGCGTTCAAACTCATGATGTCACACTACATTCGTTGCGAAAATTCGGTTATGGTTGCTAAACAAAAAATTCAAAAAGTGACCAATCCTATTTGGTACCTGAATATTCTGGAACAAACCCAGATAAGTAGCACAGTTCGATATCACAGTGGCTTCATTAGTGAGAGTCGTTAAATTTACACTATTAACCCAGGTCACTTTAGGCAGATTGAAGTCACCCCAGAGAAAAATATCCGTGAAATCTGTTCGATCCACCAAGTGAATCACAGATACATAGACAGAAACTTTCATATACGTTGATATCTGAGACACCAGGAAGATATGCGTTGCCATCCAGGATCTTATGATTTTCAATGGAGATTAAAACAAACACTTCAATTATTGTACAAAGACGTCGGCAGGAAAATGTAAGGTATTTTTGAAACACATTTAAAATAACCCCTAACCCCAGCCTTATTTATCAATCACGAATCAGATGAAACAAAAAATTACCAACGAAAACGAACGTCGATTGCTAATACGTCAATCATATTGAACTATCCAAGATACTGTCAAACTTAAATTATAAAATTCTGGCAATTCTGCCATGGGGCACACAAACCCTTTGTTTATGTGTCATCCAGTGTGTCATCAAATAATGTTATGAGTTTGAGTTTAAAATGTGTGCTCATTAGTGAATTATTTGCGTTCTGATACTTAAAACTGTTGTTTTTACTAATGTTAGAAATAGTGTATATAAATAGTAGTAAATAGTTCTTAAAAACGCGAATAACATGCCTACAATGTGTTGTATTATTAAATGTGGAAGTCGTGGAAATCGAAATATTGTTAAGTTTTTTCAAATTCCAAGTGTGCTGAACTTTAAACATAGAAAGGACCTTAATGATCTTTCCAAATGAAGACACGGAAAGTGGCTTAAAGGCCATTGAAAGAGGGGATATGACAAAAGCCAAACTAAAATACTCCAAAGTTTGCAGTAAATATTTTTTGTCTGGGACGGTATGGAGTTGAAACAAATAAATATTTTCACATAAAGGGTAGGTTCTGCGTGTCCAAGTGAAATGCAGGTAGAGCAATAAACTTGCTCAAACAATAAGGATTCCATAATTGAGTAAAAACTGCGAAAAATTGAGAGGCACATAATAGAAAATGAATATTGAATTATGATCATTAATGAGATAACATAGAGTGACGTTATGGTTTATGTTTCTGTCAATTTCTGTGTGCCTCTTGCCGGCCATATTTTGCTTGTCAAAGTCACGTGTTTCGGATAGGCTAATATCAGAGATCTGTGAGGGAAATAAACTACGCGTCAATTGAACTCGAACACCCCAATTTTTGGTCACTTTTTGAAAGGCTATAACTCAAAATCTAGCAGGCCGATTTTGTTCAAATTTTCAGGAGTAGAAGGATGCTCTAATTGCTATTTAATTTCCAGTTCTCAACAGATTTCCAGCCACCTGCTAAAAGATACAGGGTGAAACATATGGTGGCGATTTTTTCGCGAAAGTTTGGGTTCACCCCATTCTGCTGGAGGGAGGGTTAAGTAGATTTTTGGTATACAGTTTAGAAGAGTACCTTAGTACCTCGGGCCGTTTTTGAGATTTTTTGAATATCGCAGCCCACTACGATTTTATCTTGAGTTATGCGATTTTATGTAAAATATAGCTATTGACGTCATTATTTCTTTCGAAACAAACACTACAATTATGGCGCATGTGGAAACACACTTTAAAACATATACAGGGTCATACAAAAATATACAGTGTGTCTATTTTTCTAACAAGAGGTATCTTGGTTATTATTAAAGATACGAGGTCGGTTAAATTAGGGCAATGTCGCGCAATTTTATGGCCAATAAAATGGGGTTTAACACTGGCACCGCTGCTTATAGATATTGCAGGTGGTGAACCAAGAATTACTTCGGCTCAGGATTACAACAGAATTCTTTTACTAGTGCGACAAAACAGAGCTGTCAATTCTTCGCGAATAAGGATCGCGTTAGGAATTGCATGAAGCCTCAAAATCAACAATTCAAAGACGTCTCAATGAGAGAAATTTAAGAGCCAGATAGCATGTCGATTATTAAAAGCAGTCCATCGAAGAGCACGAATAAACTGGGCTAATATTCATAGACAATAGACACTGGGGAGAAGCTGAATGGTAGGGATGCTTGTTTGTGGATGAATGCAGATTTACGTTGTATCAGAATGACGGGCGTGTATTAGAATGTAGAGAAACGCGTGAGAGCTATAGAGGAGAATGCATGGAAGTAAGAGAGGCTTTTGGAGGGGGTCACGTGACAGTTTGGAAGGGGGGGGGGGTTATTTATCGGAAAGGGTAGACTGAACTGGTAGTTTTAATGAGAGAAAGTATGAACGAAGAACGGTACCGGGATTTGTGTGTGAAGGCGGTTACACACGGACGTGGAAGTCTGAAAACATGTATTGAATAGATATAAATTCAAATTTCTAATTCATCATATTTTGATACATGCTTCCTATGCATATCTCCATAAAATATCAATTAAGTTTTCATCCTGTTGTTTTTGAGCTAGGAAAATTTTCCCAAATTTTCTTTTAAATGTATACAATTGTCAATTTTACACACGGACGTGGAAGTCTGAAAACATGTA